AACTTGTTGTCCATGGTGTGGCTGTCCTGTGAGCCTGTACTGCTCACTAGATGCCCTGAGATCTTGTTGGCACAAATCATAGAAGAAAAGCTGGCCTTGATTAAGGTCAGATGATGGTTCGTCCTCCATGGCAGCAACCAAAACCTGAGCCAAAGTGAGTCCCGGAGAGGTCCTGAAGGTAGCAGAACCTGTGAGGGCCCGCTCTGAAATAGAAGAGCTCAGTGCCTCCCCAGGCCCACTCGGATCAGGGTCACCAGGTGGAAGACTTCCCCCAAAAACTTTCAAAGGAGATCGGCGCCGCTGCGGCCCATAGCCCTCCAAACCCCGCGGAGGGGCCAAATTTGAGCCTGAAGCAGCCAGAGAGGCAAAAGGATTGTGCAAAGCCCCACAATCGGAAGTGAATCCCCATGCATGTTGATCACAACATGACTGGCTTCCCTCATGGAAAATGCCATCAAAGCCGAGGTCCAAGAGACTGTTACCCGCAAGACTGGGATTCAGAAACCTCCTTCTTGCGCCTTTTGGCTTCTTCGTCTGAGGAAGAGGGCGGCCTTTTCAACATGCTTTGAAGTTGGTTCTGCTGTTCCTCAGTCAAGTTCACCCCCAGGGTGTTGATAAACCCGGCGACGGCTGCAGGTAGCGGGTCACCTGCGTCCGCATCCGGCAAAACTTCCAAGTCAGCTTTAGCTGAGTTGACAAGGGTCATGTATGAAGCACTTGTGGCTGTCAAAGCTTGTTGTTCCGCCTCGATGCGCCCCTGGATGGACTTCATCTCATCGAGAAGTTCTTGGTAGGACCGTTTGGTGTGGTCGATCTTCTGTTGCAATTGCGTCTTCTTGTGAGACAAGTCCTTCAGGAGCGAGACCTGAGTCTTGAGCTTGGAGGCAATGTCCTTCTCCGTCGGTGGGGAAGGTTTCGTCAATTTCTCTACCAGCTCACGAACCTGAGGAGGCAACTGTGCCATGTTTTCAACCAGAACATCTTTCAGATCCGGCCGTGGAGATGGCGGAGGTGGCTGAATGCCAAGGTCCTGTAGGCGTTGTTGCAAAGCCGGGTCAAGGGCCTTCTGGATCTTTGTCAGCTTGTAGGGCTTGTTGCCAAGACCTGGAGGAGGCTGCACCGGCATCTGCTGTCGTCCGGACCGCTTGGGTGATCTGGACGGTGGAGCTATGGAGTACCCTTGCGAAGGTCGTGCCCATTTCTCCCCGCAGTGCTGCAAACATAGCCCTCACGTATCTTGTCGGCCCAAATCCAATTGGAACATCTGTCACCTCCGCAGACCTGATAGGATCTGCACAAGCTGTCGCCCCATGAAGTCATGGTTCACCGCCCCCTTCTTGATCAGGCCGTAGAGACCGGCAATCTTGGGGTGATCGTGTAGATGGGAGCTCTCGGTGGCCGGTAGCCGCCGAGCTTGAGGCTAAACAGCTTGAGCCATATATATGTATACATATATATATATATGTATACAGCTCATATCCTAAATATATGATATGATGTTGACTATATACATATGATCTCATACGGAGTTTGTTGTGACTATGAATTAGAAAACCTCCAATTAAATTAATGGATGCCCTGGTATTTTGTTGTCAGCCAGGAGTCACAAGACGGGGTGGTGTTCAGTCCCCTTACGTGAGTGGATACCCTTTGGAACTGCTGGAGTTCTTTGGAACTGCTGGAGTTCTTTCTTGCTCAGTGTCCTGCGAACAATCCCATGGGTGTAGACTAGAATTGGGTGGAATTTTTACTTTGAAAGGTTAGGTGCGGGACAGTTCGACCTCCCTACCCAGCCGCGGGCGAGATTTTGAGGTTTCCCTATTAACATACAAACCCACATCCAGTTCGCTCTTAGGTCGGAGGCCATTGCTAGTAGGTTGGAGAAACCCACATCCAGTTGGCCTGAGATGGTTTCGATCGCCCCCCCGGAGTCCGGCTTTCACCGGTCCGTTTCCGGCCAGCTGGCATGCCGGTCTACACCTCCATCTATGTGGCCTCTTGGCTTTACCGGAGACATGCTGGTCTGAGACAAAGTGAGAAAGGCGCCATGTGGAAGGACTCCTATGGATCCACATGGTCACATACCCTTTGAGAAGGTGATGGGAGACTCCTCTATGTAGGCTTTGGAGGGTCCAAGTACCTTACCTTCGCGGGTGGCAGTGGATCCCGAACGGGGCATGTTCCTGCACCAGAACTCAGTTCCTTCTTCGTTCCTCAGTTTTGTTTGGTCTTCTCGTGGGTGTGATGGTCACAACTTCCCGACTCAGACGACGAAGTGGCGCGGTCCGTGGAACGAAAGCGACCGTTGGTTGGTGTGAAGTTCGGTCTCAAAAGGCTTGGTTTCGAGCAGTTCCGGTGATGTGTCAAACTGTGGAGATCTTGCAGGTTTGTTTTCGCAAGCAGTGGGTACAAAGAGGAAAAACTCTTGAGTCCAGAGTTCCATCACTGGCAACCTTAGGGTACACCATAATTTGACCTAATTATTCAGCTTCAAAACTGCCAAACGAGTCACACTGTCGAAGGCATCCAAATATTCCCAGACGCTGTATGTTGACCCCAAGTCAAGCATTTCCAAGTGATTGGTAAGTATTCGGACTCTTCAGTCCAGGAAACGACTAGTCCATTGGCACCGAAGTGTTCAGCAAATTCCTAGACTCGGGTCATGTAGTCAGACCACTTGTGACATACTCGACTGGAATCCCAAGGCATTGTTTTGGGGGGTTGAATCAAGGGTCTCTAGTCTTTGTCTCCATCCCATGGACGGGATTCCAGTCCCATGGAGCGATTCGGTCGCGGCTTGGTCGCCCAGGAGTGGCTCATCAACGTGCCCATCCTGTCCCTTTCTCAGTCATGTCGGGAGGGGGAGAGGAGTTGGATTCTCCATTTTTTAATGCAGCACCCCCGGCCCCCCTTGCAGATGGAGATGTAGAACCGGAGTCGGCGGGGGGGTTTTCTTCGTTCCAATCACAGAGTACATATATCCCATATGTCATAGTTCTAGAGGAATGTTCACATTGTAAATTCCAATTACAATAGTATGATTTTGGGGAAAGCTACTCACCCACAGAGTCTCCACTTGGTCCTAAATGCATGAGGGTGAGCCGCAGAGGGACCTGGAGAGGGCCCTGATGCAGTTGAACTCTGCAAGCTCTCAGCACTTTGCTGCCGAAACAGGCCCCAAACCGCCCTCGACCGAGGCTGGTCCTGGCAGGCAGTTGTGCTCTTCATCGCACCGTGAGGGAGGTGAAACGGCCGTTGATCATCACGCCCCTCGGCGTCCACGCAGGGCTGGTGCCGAAGGCTTCGTTGGTGCCGCCGGCCCTTTCGAGGATGCCGGGGAGAGGTCCGCGAAGAGTCCGTGACCGTGCCGTCCCTGAAACCGAAAAACGCGCTTTTTTTGGAGCTTCTTCTTTTATCACCTCGATGTTGGCCGATGAGGTGTGACACTGCAGTGACTTGAGAATGAACCGCCCAAGCGGAGGAATTCTGATTCGACACAAGCCTTGTAGCCTTGCAAACTGAAGGAACAAGTGAAGAACATGTCCAGCCAACCAAATTGTGTCACTTCAGTTCGAGATCTGAACACCAGAGCCTTGTACCTCCATGGCCGATGAACAACACCCTCCTGCTCAACCAAAAAGACACAAAGCCTTTTCCCCAAAACCTCTGCATGGGTTCCCCAACTTCCGCAAGCCCGCACTCCATTTGCGACATTGTTGATGTTGCAACTCTCAGCTCCCTGCCTGGCAATGACTTCGTTTGCTGCAAATGTCTCCAACCGACCTGGAGAACTGACCCTGTGGGAAGTGAAAAAGGCTTAAGAAGGATCCACCATGATCATCCATGATCTACCTGTTGGTAAACAAGACCATTGTAAGTACGAATGTCTTTCTCGCAATATACCCAGCTTCAGCGAAGTGAGTGATCTACCACTGGTGCAAGCACCACTGACTCGTGAAGCTTGAGAAAAGCAACAGCCAGAGCTGCCTGGCCTGACAACAGGAATGTCTACATCGTCTTTGCTTGGCCGGGGCCTCAAAACCGCGGTTCTCAGACATGGTGCCAGTCAGGGTGATGGTGATGGTCGTTGCATGTTTGGGATCGTTTGCACTGGAGAAACATTTTGACCACCAAACCGGGACTGGATTTCACTTGATTCCACTGCTTGTTTGCGCGATTCCACTGGATTCCACTGGTTTGTTACTGCAGGGAAAGCCTGGTGAAACGAGGATCTTAGCTTTGCTGTCAGGCCTCCGTCGTTCAACGTTGCGGAGGAAAAATCCATCGCAAAAACCCATGGGCGGTGCCTAAACGATCATGCTTCCTTGAGCGACTGAAGAGCTCTTTTTCGCTTATCCCATGTACCACTATATAGAAAAGGGTTTCAGTTCAGGTCTCTAAGAGCCTTTTCGTTGGAGGGTCCGAACAAGTTTCTTCCGGTTGTGGCCGTGCAGTTCTTTTTGTTCGGGGCGGTGGTCTTCGTATTGTGGTTTCGAATCGGACTTTTTCTCAAGCTGAAACAAGCGATTCGGATGCTCCAGAAGGATCCGGGGGCCCATAGCGCGATGGCCTCCACCAAGGTCAAAGGAGAGAAACAACTTAATAGCGATAGTCTCCTCTCCATCCGAAAATGAAGGCAACCGAAAAAGAACATGCTGTGGGAAACCAGACCAAACCTGGTGTGGTGATTTTCTGGAATCGCTGTAGATGCATTCATTTGGTTCATTCAAAAAACTCGGGGTGGACCAAAATTTCTATCCCCTACGGACTCCTTCTAGGAGATGGACTAGTTCCAACACGTTAAGTTTGGAGCGTTTCACTGCGAGACACCTGACACCAGACGACAGATGGCAGTGGGACCACACATTTAATGGAGAGCACTTCCAAGCCAAAGGGAGAGCTCGCAGCTTTCCAAAGGAGACCTTCCCTATCTTCCTGATTCCCGGCGCAGTCGTGACCCCGAACACGACCCCAGACTCCTCACCGTTCCGACTCTCCGCAGCACCTTTGAAGCCTCACACCGCCTGGGTGGACTGGGCGGGGCTCGGAGCAGAACTCGCCGCCGGGAACCCGCAAACCCGGGCGCCCCGGAACCTCCTCGAAGCCACGAAGCCACTGGGACGAGATCAAGGGAGTCAAGGGAGTCACCAGGGAGTCACTGAACACGCTGATATCTTCGTGTTCTCTTTTGCTGTGAGTGGGTGTTGCGGGTGCAGCCGTCATCGGGCCATTCGGTGTTGACGAGCGAATTGAAGGTGCAGCTTTTGGTGAAGATACTCAGATACTCGAACGTTGGTGAAGATATGTGGGTAGCCATGTGGTTGTGTACTTTATAGAGAAACCTTCCAAAGACCCTCTGGAAGAAGGGAGGCAGACCAAAACCCGCTGGTTGAAGGTCTCCCTATTCAAATTGCACATGCGGTGAACACCGTGAGATGCTTCTTCTGATTCGCTGGGCTTCAAAATGACGCCGAGTCCTCAATTTTTCCCGTGTGGAAGCCACGACCGGTCATGTGGTGACGGTGAAACACCGGTCATGTGGTCATGTTGTGGCTCGATTTCCGGGAGCCATCCTGCGTCAAGGATACTTCTCATGTCCCCGACACTCCATGGGACTGGCATATTTACAGTGGTTGAAGAGGGGGTCAATGTATAAGATTGTATAAGAAGTATACATAACTATATCATAACCATGAACACTCACTACATCATATCACATATGTTCCAGAAATCGAGTGTCTGGATTTCTCCTTGTCAGTAGGTTTCAGTTGCCCAAAATGAACCCTCAAGCCCAGCGACCCCAGGCACCTTTCTGCCTTCTCCAGTTCCAAGATGTCCCAAGCAGACACAAATGGACGTTTCCGGATCTTGGGCGCCATATTGGAACACCCATTTGTTTCATGTTGTTTTTTGGGTTTGGACTGGGTGAAACCAGGATATTGGCTGACTCCAATCACTGAAATCCAGCCGCAGGTCTTACAGGCCACAGTTCCGTCCCCATTTGATGTGTTCTTCATGTGGGCAGTGTTTGGGAAGATGTGTTCTTTGTCTTCTGCCGTCCACTCAGGAAGATGGCGAAGTTGCCATCCTTCCTCAGTAGCATGTTCCCAGGAGAGCGAAGGGCTCCTTTCGGGCTCCGTTCGGGCTGAAGTGCGGTCGGTGAAACCAATGAATCCAACACGGTGGAGGAAGCGCGGGCCTATGTTAGACCTACCGGACCGATCATGGGATTCCTACCCCCAACACCCTGCTTCAAAAAAGAGCTCTTCCGGACGGAACATCTCGATGTGTAGGTAACAACGGAGTGTTCAATCTTGGGTGGTATGAGGGTGGGTGATTTGGTGTCCCTTCACCATTTTGGCTCAAGAAGGGACACCCACTCCCCATTTTGAACCACCGAACTCGTTCAATTTGGGGGGGTGGGTGGTGTATACGTCGGCACCCACCACGGCGTTGGTGG